ACTTGCTAATGTGAAACTGGCAGGGATGAATAGAGTTGACTGGGTTTTTTTTCCCCCCAGACTTCAGTACTCCAGTTCCTGAGTATGCTCTTACACAGTACCTGCATCAGCCTCAAACATGGATGTCAGTTTATGACTATGAAAAACCTTTTCAATGGAGACTTCCAAAGCGAGTGTGGGCAGAAGTGTTTTATCTGTGGGACTTTCCCAGGATATCACTGGCAGCTTTTGGAAAATGAATGTCGTGTGAAAAAGTTTTCCCGCGTGATCAATGGGAGAACGCATTCGTGTGGCTTTTCGCTGCAGCCCTAGTATCTCACACGACTGCCTCATTGCTTTTGTATTCTGTTTACTTTGCCTGTGTAGTGCGTGACCTAAATTTTGTACCTAACTAGGTGTAGAAATCAGTATTTATTCCCTTGGATCCTATATCATTGTTTCCTTAAACTGTAAGTCATGTTACACTTTAGGTAGCAAGCTATGTTGATTTGTTAGTATTGGCTCCACTTCAAACTAAGTCAGCAAATACTTTGTTATTAAACCATGTATTTTCTGTGTTCTGTTAGTTATTTTTAAAAGGAACATAAAACTGCCGTTTTGGTAAAATTCTTACCACATCATGTTTGACTTCTGAGTCCTGTTATTTTTGTGAAAGACTTTGCTATATTAAACGTTAGGCGTTGTCCCTGGGGAGCAAAGCTGATGGTTACTGAATCTGGCTTCACAGATTTCCCACTTTCCATATTGACTTGCACTGTCTTGGATGGTGGCAGAGCCACTTCAGGTAGCACTGGCTGAAAGAGTAACACTACCTGTTGAAGTAACTGCTTCTGGTGATTTCATTATGTGATTTTTAATTGTTTTCCTGTATGCTTTTGATGGATCAAGGGCTTTCGAGAGCTTTCTAGAACTTTTTTCACTGTCCCAAGAAGATCTCTGCCTGTTTGTACATCTCTGCTGAGAAGAAAATCGCTGCACTCTGCTGAAAAAATGTTATTGTTTGCTGGCAGGCGAAAAGGGGGGAAAATATGATAATGGCTAAAATCGTATCGATGGCTTCTGATACCTTGACATGTTTGTCCTCAACCCCTGAGTGAAAGCAAGTGTTTCTCTGCCTAGTTAACTCCTGGGGCTGGGGGGCTTCAAGGTGGCATTCTGCCATCCTTCTGTCTAGTGCTTGTTGGGAAGGACGTGCTTTTCAGTAGCTGATACCAGTTTTGATATTGTCTTTATTACTATGGAGAATGAGGAATTCAGGCTGAGCCCCAGTTAGTCATTAGGTAGTGATGAGTTTTCTTTGTTGTTGTCAGTTGTGGCTACTACTTTGACTTGTAATTCAAGAGACAAGCTAGGTTTTAATGTGGAAAATCAGGAGTTCATCTGTGAGCCAGATGCTTTGCTGTGGAGGCAGTAGACACAACATCAGTGTTGAGTAAAAAACCGTTTAAGAATCTCTTCTGCACAAGTTTGAGTGGTGCATCTCCTAGAGTCATTGAAAAAGCCTGCAGGCCACTCTGATGTTCAAACAATTAGTGAATAATCTAATGAAATTATGGATAGGTGCTATGGAGGGCTTGCTTCCTCCCTGCCCCTCTGCAAAATGCTGTGCTGAGGGTAAGATTAGGTATAGTGAAGAATATTTCTGTTGCTTTAACTCTCTGGGGTTCCTGTTGTATTTGATTAGTCTTCATGGACTGCTTCTGCTGATGTTCTCAAATAATTTCAGTTGAAAAATCCAGAGTCTTCTGTTCAAGTGTCTGATGCTGTGCCCTCTTAGACCTTGAATGATTCATGAATTTTTCTGCATTTATAAAATGTCACTCCTGTGGTTTGTTGTGATGTATAGCCTGAACGTTTCTGGTTTCTGTGATGCCAGCTTATCCACCTTTACTGCGGACTGCTGCTGCTTCAGAAAACAAGCCTTTAACAGCTCTCGAGCAGCAGATGCTTCTTCTTTAATGGCATCTTGGCTTTCTTCAGAGATGTTACAGACCCTAAAAGGTCCAAAGCAGTTTGCTTACGACTTCTCCAAATCTTCGTTAGGAATCTAGTGACTACTAATTGTAGTTACTTGTGCTGAGCCCAAACTAGGGATTGCAGTAGTGGTGAATGTTCCTCCCAGAATTTACTTGACACTGACCTTCTCTACATCCAGGTTGGATGAGGCTTTGGGCAACCTGGTGTAGTGGAGAGTATCCCTGCCCATGGCAGGGGGGTTGGAACTGGATGATCTTTGAGGTCCCTTCCAACCCAAACCATTCTATGATTCTACAGTTGAATTCCGACAAGTCCTTCCTCAGCATCTCCTGTTAAGCTTTTGCCAGTGTTTCTTCTGACCCTCCCAGGACAGTATCGTCTGCAGTTCATAGCTGATGGGTTATTGTTCCTCTGTGTTTTACTTGGCCTCAAATTAAAAAAAAAAAAAGCTGTTACTATTTTGGAAATAAAACTTGGATTTGCAAAACATTTTTCATTATTTTACTTTTCCTAAACAAATCCAAACCTTTGCAGTATCGGTATGTTTAAGTCAGTGGAAAAAATTATTTCAGATTTGGAATGAAAAAGCTTTAAGCCATCAGATTCACTGGTTATAACACCATTCAGCTCACTAACAAAGCGCTCCATTTGGAACTAATCAGAGCTTTGTGATTTTTCTAGGCCAATTTGAAACTGCTTTGCTTTGATGTGCGACTGAATCAGATAGTATATGAGCTCAGTCAGTCAAGACATATGGGCTAAATTAATCTTTACCAAGCATATAAAAATTAAATCTTTATGGAAAGAATTGGAGGTTATGTATAAACAAAATGCAAATTTTAAACTGCACGCAATGCTTACTGTAAGGATAGTGAAGGGAGTACAAGATAGGTGATATATTTCTGAAACCCTGTGACTATGTTCTTACCCACTTTCAAGTACTTGAAGTGTTTATATTTGCTGATTATTCTCAATATTTGGAACCTGGTTGTTGAGGATAACAGAGTCTTGCCTGAATCGAATTTTCTAGCTTGCCCTGTTACTTGAAGTCACCTGTTGCCAGGAGGATGGTGGTGGCATGGCTCAGGCTGCTGGAACTTCCTCTGAGCAGCAGTCCACCAAAGCGAGAGTTTAATGAGCTCCAGGAGAGAGACGGTGTGAGATGAGCTTTGGTAGAGACTGACTTTGGCAGGGAGACTTAAACTACTCTCCACCCTCCCTCCAAGCTTGAAGTTTAACGGCTCATCTTTATCATGTGAAAGCTTGATATTACATTTTTGTTACTGGTGGAAAGCTGTGCTGAAGAAGCATACAAGTAAACTTTATTTTTTGATCAAAAAGTAGACGAACAGTGCTGAAAAGGAAAGCAGGTACTTGTAATCCTGCTTTCTTCTGACACTCATCTGTCTTTCTGGATTGATTTCTTTGCCCATTTAAGCTTTTTTACAGATGTCAAGTATACCCAGTCTGTCACTTGTGCTACTGCCTTAAACTGTGTATAAATCTATAAACTCAGTCTTAAACTGAAGCTTACAATAGGTAATTGTGTAGAGGTGGGGATGTGCTATTTTTCACTTGCATTGTGTATTCTGATTGATGACGACGTGTGAGGCTAATGGTAGGGTGAGCAAAGTATTGTTTTACATGTAAATTGTCCTAACTCATGGCACTGTCTCAAGTAAACGGGGTCTGAGTGAGCCTTTTTCCTTACAGGGACCTGGAGCTGCTGGTATTAGTTACCATGAAGAAAGGATAGCTTCTTTTGTTATGTCCAGGTGTACATTTTCTCCTGTGATTTGCAAAAGGCTAAAAATCCACGTTAAATTCTAATTACAGCTCTTCATAGCAGGATTTCACATTGATTCAGTGTGGCAATTGACATTCTAGTAGTGCATTAGTTAATACGAGTGCTTTTGTGAGTCTTAACTACCTCTTTAAAGCACACTTTCCTCTTTAAGATACTTAAACCCTTGTGTTCAGTACTGTTAACTTTTAACTGTTAATCTATGCTTCTCATTACCTAGAAAATGAGAGTAATTGCCTTGCTTATGAGGTAGGCATTGAATGTTCTACTACAAGTAATAATATGTTTTTGTGTGTTGCTGCATAATTGTGAATGCTCTTGTGGACAGCGACTCAAGTAGGCAGTGCTCAATTCTGCTTTTTCTAATGATGTTTTGTTTGTTTCTGTAGTTTTAAGTAATGGTGAAAATATGTTTTCTTATGCTAAATGCAGTTTAGAAGGTAGTATGAGGCCATGAAGTCTGTGTTGATGATGCAGCCTTCTGCTTGGACGTTTTTAGTGTGAAGTTCTTGACTGAAGTATGATCATGATAGCAGGCTTTTAAATGGCAAAGACAAGAATATTAGATTTTTTTGCTAAATTGGAATTCATTCCTTGTAATCTGTATGGAAATACTTTGAAATAGAATCATAGAATGGTTTGGGTTGGAAGGAACCTCAAAGATCATCTAGTTCCAACCCCCCTGCCATGGGCAGGGAAATCCTCCACTACACCAGGTTGCTCAAAGCCTCATCCAACCTGGCTTTGAACACTGCCAGGGATGGGGCATCCACAACTTCTCTGGGCAACCTGTTCCAGTACCTCACCACCCTCAATGTAAAGAATTTCTTTGAGTCTGCATTTGTGTAGACAGGGGAAGTAATTTTTCAACAAGAAAACTAGGGGAAAAGGGCTCCTGGAAAATACTGGTTTTATGTGAAGAACTGTGGTGTGGGGAGGTTAAGGGTCTTGCAATATCTCTGCAGTTGACTGCTGTGTGACTATTGTTTAAAAAAAATTATACTTTAAGTAGCTTTATAGATTAGCCAAGATAATCTAGATTTGAGAATAGCTGCTGACCAAAACAACTTCCCTGAACTGTTACTTGTGGAATATCCATAGTAACACCCCTTGGTTTTAAAGGAAGCAAATGTCTCCTAACTGCCTTCAAAGTGGTTCTGTTCACTCTGGAGGAAGGTTTGCACATTTCCAACACACTTTTGTGTTTTTTTCTTTCCAGGTCACTCCAAGGTCCGAGACCCCCATCAACAGTGTCAGTAACAGTTTGGAAAATGTACTACATACATCAACACATTCCATTGAAGAGTCATTACCCAAGAGGCCTTCGGGGAAACACTCCAAAGGTGTGTCCTTTTCCGTGTGCGTGCTTCCAGTGGGGGAATGAACTCATATCTCTTGAAAGCAATTAGCGGTGTTTTAATTGTGATCGGAGACTGGAATTTTGCTTCTTTACTTCTGGGTTGGGTTGAGCAAAGGAAGTTATAGAAGGGTTTTTGTAGGAAGTGTTAGTGCTTCAGTGAAAAACGGTCAGCGAGAGGCAAGTGTGCGTGTTTTTCTTTTGGAAAATAAACAAGAAGGTTCCTTATGAGTTGAAGTATCAGCTTAGCTCTCAGGAAATATCTTCTTAAGAAGTGAATATCTCTGACACCACCTTCATCCTTATAGTAGCAGGTTATTTCTTGGATGAAGCATATGGTGATGAGTGTTGCTTTACTGGGGAGAAGAGAAGGCATTTAAAATAGCAGTTAGGTTTCCACAACCACCTTTCTCTTGGTTCCCAAGAACGTATAAGTGAGAAACTGAGGGAAGAGGGTTGGAGGATAGAAGAGAGAGGTCACACCTTTCCCAGCACACGTGTGCACCGAAATGTCGTTACAAAATCAGTCTTATTTTTGTAATGTTATATTGCATGCTGACCTGGCTAAAAGCTGGGCCTACCCAATTTGAGTTAAGTGTGCATTCCCTTTTCACACTCCAGGCTATGCTTACAAATATTAAAATGTCTAGGTTAAAATGTGACTAAGGGTATTTTTGTTTAATGCATGCAAAAAGCACTGTTAAGTGAGGAAAGTCTTTGAACTACGAGCTGCAATTTGTGTAGAACAGCTTTTGTGAACTCTTTGTGGTATTAATAAAACAGCTCTGTACGGCAGAACTAATGCAGGGGAAATACACCATCACATTAGCAGCACTAGAATATTGCCTTCAAATGTCATTAAAAATACTGTCATGGACCGTATACATTTTTTTTTTTAAATTTGGAATTCGTCTTCAGAGTTCTGTTTCCTTCTCTGCCTCTGGCTTGCTGCATAACCTTGCAAATACAGTTTAATACCACATAAATTATGATCAAGAATTTCAAAGCACATTTTCACTCAAAGGAACTGATACAACTTGGAAAGGGTTAAATGTCCCAAGGAAATATTCTTAGCGTGCCTCCACTGGACCTCCTTTTCTGTGACATACTCAACTGTAATCCCTGTAGCTGTAAGTAGCAATAATTTTTTACAGCAGAATAGTGCTGTAAGTAGCTATTTCTCCAGCTGTAAAAGCTATCAGGGTGGAAGAAAATGCAACAGTAAGCAGAAGCATGGCTAGGTTTGTGGCTCTCATCTGATTAAAAATAGGACAGGGTTCAACACAGTTTTCATTTGTACTCACTGATTGCTATTCCAGTACCATATATGCCAAGATTAGTCATGGTACACTGTGAAAATTAATTAGGTTTTCCTCTGATCTGTTTCTCTTACAGAATACCTGCTGAGTTTTCAGAGAATGTAGCTTTTTCATTTATAGATTGCCTTAGTGATAGTTGGTAAAAGGAGTTGTGGAACAAATAAGGCTTTTTTACTAACTGATATTCTGCTTTCTGGTTCACCAGCAGCAAAGATTGTGTTGAGTTCTCCTTGATACATGATGATCTGTCTGGTAGGGAGTTCCATCTTTTAAGGTTGGAGTACAACTGAAGATTATTTGCTACCCTGGAGCTACCATTCCTCTCTTACAGATTTGAATTCTCATAGCAAACAGACACATCTCTTAATTTAGCAGGACCTGCTACCTTTTTAACCTAGAGCACTTGAAATTCGGTCATGAGAGTAGGAGGTGGGCAGGTTGCTTGACCAGTTGTGTAATTCTTCTGTTGATATTTTCTAGTGAGTCTTGTTTCAGACAGCTTGAGAGAACAGGATTTCTTCTCACTTGCGGTCAGAAATAGTGAGCTGCCTAAGTTCATCCTTCCTCTCTTGGCAAAGTACTGGGGCTGGAAGTGTCTCAGTTAAAAAGGCTGTAGCTGAAATGGAAGAAAAATGAGAAAGGTGCAGTACCCGTTGTGCTTAGTTGGATTGGAGACAGTTTGTATTAATCCAGTGAATAGTTTTAATCCTGATTTGTAGAAATGTCAGTAATATACTCTGTATATAGTTAAACAGTGAATGGCTTTGTCATAGGCTTGGACCTGAAAGCTATCAGTGGCTCTATTTTCCCTAATCCACACTTTGAAACTAGCTTTTAGTGTAACATATTTCAAATTTCTACATGGGAGAGAGATGAGAAGAGTGAAGTATACTGCTGAATACTCTTTAACAAACTGTGGTGAGTGTCTGTGTTTATTTGTGTTTGCATTAAGTGGTTAGCTGGAAACATTCATACATGCTTCATGCAGACACTTGTCAAATGCATAACTTCTGAATAATTTCACCATCCTATCGATACAGAATATTGCTGCCTTAGGAAACGAATTTATAAAATGAGCATCGGTCTGGGAAGTCTTAAGCCTTTCCTTTTATCTCAGAGGCCCAGCTAACTGTGGGAACACTTGGGCATTGGTGTACTGGATCCATGCTGTAATCCCCAAGTTGTTGGGAGTAGTGACGAGCTGGGGGCAATCGTATGGTTGTTTAGCAAAATTCACCGATTTTTCTATGCTGGTCCTGCTGTATTAGCTAAAGCCCCTTCTCTCTTCTGCATGTGTCAGTGGTAAAGCAGGATGGAACAGATGGACATTTCTGCAAAATAGAGTTGTGACACTAGGAAGATCCTGTACCTGTTGCCATAGGCATTTCAGGTATCTGTGCTTTATCTGGACTTTTGTAAAATGAAGTTGAAAGATTTGGCCCATGCAAGTTTAGAAAAAACACAGGTGGGTATTGACAGAAGGATGTGGACCTCTTCTGATGTCTAATAACTGTAACATGCAGTATAAATTGTGCCTTTTACTCGTGTATTTGGATCGGTGATTTTGGATTGTTCAAACCTGTTTTCACAGATGTGCAAGTTATTTTAACTGGAGGTAACTTCAGGAAGCGGAGACTTTCCTTGTCAGGGACTGGCTATTGTTGTGCATGTAAGCTGCAGACAAGCTTATTTCCAGGTTTTAAGGTATTGACACATCTCACTGGTCAAGGAGAACCGAGGCAAATACAGCTAGATTCTTGTGTTGTATCTAACTGAAATTCCAAGAGGGATGTGTTGCTAGATCCTTCTGTCTCTTCTTCCATTGTTTCTGGAATGCAGTCAAGTTTTAACATTGATCTGAACAAGGCAATCAAATTCAAATGAAGATTGGGTGTTTTTTGCATATGGGGTTGTGATGGGTTTGTGTGAAGGGGTTCTGGTCACCACGATAGGTGTGAGTCGAGTGCCACAGTCTGTCTTGTGTTGTCCTGTAGGCTTTTTTCTGCAATACTACAAGAACTGAACCAGTGCAGATGTAGCTGCAGAAGATGAGATTTCATGCTTGCAAACGCTTGCCTGATAGGCACATACCTTAGCAGCAGTGCAGCTGTATAGTGATGGCCCCTTCCATAGGCAGACTTGTTTCCCAGCACAATGCCAACAAAGTCAACAGACTTATTTGGAGGGATTCTGATAAAGGCATTGAGGCTGGTTGTCTTAAACTTAGGATTTTACCCTGCGTTTTCTGGAGAGCCACCTCAGAACCTTTTTCCAGTAGCAAGTGACCCAGGTGGTTAAAGGAGGTCACTGGTTAATAATAGTATATTCACTAGCAACTTTTGGTTTGCAGGTAGTCCTGTGCTGGTAGCTAAGGGAAATTCGGATGATATGCCAAAGCCCAGAAGGAGCTATCTGACCCTCGGGAAGTCCTGTTTGCAGGGCTAATTTGTAACAAGCCTATGAAAGCAGAGTTGTTCTGACCTTGTTGAGCAATTCCCAAAAGAGACTGCTTACAGTTATCAAAGCTAAAGGGAAAATTCAGCTTATTTTGTATTTTTTAAAAAAAAGGTAGGAATTTCCTGTACCCAGAGATGTTGTTAGTTACTCTGACTGTAAGGCTCTGAGCAGAATGATTTGGCCATTAGGTGCATAGTGCTGTCGACAAGTACTGCTCTGTGCACGTGACCTATTTTAGCAATGTATTAAACAGTCAGTGACCACAGCATATTTTCCGAAAGCACAGTGGAATAAAGTACATTAGACCAGATGTTGAAGCGCAGAACAAAAGAATCTTTATAATAAAGGCAATGTAAGTTGCAAAACATTACAGTACAAAGACTGCGTGGTCTTCGTGCTGTAGTTTCTCATAATACTGAGTAAAATTTTGATTTGTCACAGCCTCTGTCTTAAATTTTCTGCAGTGGAAGTTCTATGTTGGTATTTATAAGATGCTCATTACTGTATGAGGTTTTGCATGTGGCACTTAGCACTGTTTTCCTCCATAAAGCAGTCTGGAAGATGGTTTCCTCGACTCAACGAGTCTCATTTTCTGCAAAGTGACAAAAATTCCCCTATTCTTGTGTTTCCTGTATATTTATCTTGCCTTTCCGCTGTTGCCACACAAAACCTCAAAATTGTCTGCACGCCAGCCTGATTTCAAATGAAGCAACTGTTGAAATATGATCCTTATATAGCGAAGCTGAATCACAATTCTTGCAACACATGCGTCTAATGATAGGCACAGACTGCTTCCTGTGGACAGAGAGGAGTAAAGCTTTTGGATGTAAAATGGGTACAGAAGGTTTTATTCTACAGTCTCTGTTCCATTTAGTACTCCTGCTGAGCACAGGAAAACTTTTTGCTTAATTGAAGGTATGCCATTAGTCCACATACAGGGTCCTGCAAAGCCTCGATGGTGTCCCAGGCTAGAATAAATACATGGAATAGCACATGACTCACTCAACAAAAGGAACTGCAGTCCGTTGGCATAAGGAAAACCAAACTTTAGAGAAAATGCATCTCAGTAACATATTGATTTAATTTCGGATTAATATTAGGATGTAGAATAGATCTTTGTTTGCAGTAATCCTGTTGACCTCAGGTAGGATATAAGTTGCAGGTAGGTTAAGCTGATTGTTCTGCACAGTGAGCTCTGGTATCTAAATTG